CTCATGCAGAGGCCAACCACCTCGAAACATGTTTTTTAAAACCCTTCCAGGTGTGCATTGAGGTTTTAGACTAAATTTGCAATACATCAATACACAGACACAGGTTGCATTTTTTGGTACCCATTCGCTGTATCGGATATATGTTATGAGTTTAAATTGAAAGGCATGATTTTAATCCAACCCAGATGCCAGATTGGATAAAACATGGTTTCCCCGTTCGATGTATTTGATATATATATAATATATAGTATGAATGTAGGTTGAATTTATGATCTTAATCCAACCTAGATTGGATGAACATGTTTCATTTGGGATATCATGTATCCGATTTTGTGTTTGCATTTTATGCTTCATCCATCTTCATCCGTTCTTCAGGTTGAGATGTCTTGATGTGTTATGTTGTGCAACCGGATTTGCACGCCAATCAAAGCCTCAGCTTCCAGGCAGCATCTGTATTCACTGACGTGTCGGAAGCTTTGGCCCATTTGCACAGGCGAGACGTGGGGGGACAACTGGCAGGTTTGCTCAAAGTCTTTACAATCTCAGATGAGCTGCTCCAACATTTGTAGATTAGGGTGTTTCTTTCTTGTGCGGCAGATCCTGGACCAGGAGGTGTGTGTGTGTGTGTCGAGCATATTCAAACACCCTGCCATGTCGTCATGTGCAAAGATTCAAGAGTGCCTCCCTGCATTCAGAATCGAGGTTTGACATCCTGTGATGGGATACTTGATATCACGGCCATGTTTGCTCAAGACCGTTGTAAGAAAAAAATGCGCAAACATGGCGTATGTGCAGGCAAGGCACTTTGAACAGTTTCCTGGAAGCATTGGTCGTGAGATCAAATAAGATTCTCACTCTTCCTTTCTACGCTCGTTCCAGATATATAAATCGAAGATCTATCTTGCGAGTAAACTTTTGCTACACGAAGTACCACACAAGTCCGTCCAGAAGAACGTGTTGCACAAACCAGTACTGTAGATTTGCTTTTTGGCACAGCCATTGTGCAATGCACGATGTCAGCCTCACCATGTGGATCACACAGCTTTCTGCAGCGACTTCGCATGAGCCGTGATGCGGTCCTTCAGAAGTGCGCATCAAATCTTAAGAGAAAAGCTGAAGTGATTGAAGAGAACACGAGTGCCTCCTGTGTGAAAGCCAAAGTGAGGAATTCCCAGCAGAGAACACACTCAGAGGAAATGGCCAAACAGCTCGTTGAGTCCGGGGAGATTCATGCTGAGACAGTTCTCAAAGTCTTGCTGGCGACTGACATCCCAATGAACAGCACTCGGAAGAACGTGCTTCCAGAAGGTGTAGATGCTGTGAGGGGCATGTTACTCGGCTTCTATGCATTGGCATCAAATGTTGGAATCACAGATGCCTCAAGATCTAATCCTTGGCTTGTTCGATTGTTGTCGAGCTTTGCTAGAAAGTCACACCCAGAGTTTGAATTTACTTCAATCCAGGTGAATAAGAATTATGCTTCCCGTCCACATGTGGACAGAAACAACCTGGGAGATAGCCTCATTGTTGCTTTGGGAGACTACTCTGGTGGTGACATTTGGGTTCATGACGAAGCCGGCAACGTCCCTTTCGAGCTCCAGGAAAGCATTTCATCCATGTATCATTATGAAAGCAATGTCACATATATCGGATCATTGCTGGACCTTAAACGAACGTGGAGATACTTCAATGGAAATAAGCTGCACTACACAAAGCCCTTTGAAGGGGACCGCTTTAGTTTGGTGTACTACACTTGCAGCAGGTATTCTGAGGCATCACTGGAGATGTGTTGTGAGCTTCAGGATGCTGGATTCCCCTTTTCAAAATCGAGCCAAAGATTGTCACAAGCTTTGCTTGGGAAGCAGAAGGAGAGGCAAGAATGCAATGAGAAGTGGAAGCAACTAGTCAAGGATCGTATTCGTGAGGCCAAGGAGGAGCTTGGAAAGTGTTCAGCTCGAACTTGGAATAGAGGATGGGGTGGAAGGTGCCCACACTACAGGTCTGAAGACGGAGAGTTTTGCAAGATGCATGCAGGTGAAGCGTGGAGAACCCACGGGACGGTTGAAGGGCCAGTTCCAAAAGCAAAGCGTGCAGAAATGCTGAAGTGTCAAAAGCAGATGGTGGCAGAAGGTGAGAAACCACCAGATCCACTGCCTGACGGAGCCTTGATTCTGGTGGATCTGTGACATTTTCATAGTTTTGTTTATTTGTTTACGTCAGTTCTGCTGATGGCCACTGGCCCGGCACATTCCTGCAAGCAATTGAAGCATGACTTGCTGAGCCACTGACAAAACCGTGGCGAATTTGCGAGTTGCAAACAGAGCTTCTCTAATTTGGACTTAAGGTTCTCTCATTTGTGTGCATGCATTTGCAAAGTGTCAACACCATGACTGTATATGATCCGAAGTGCTGAAAGCTTCAGGCATGGAATTGCTCATCGAGATCTAAAGCCTGAGAACGTAAGAACTCTTAATAGGAAGAGTGAAACTTGTCAAAAGGGAACTGTGAGGTGATGAAAAGTCAAGTGGAACGGCTTTGGATGCTTTGCCAAGCCAAGCTCTAAGGTGCTTCTTTTTCCAGGTGGTCGTGCGAAGCTCGCAGACTTTGGCTGGTGCTTGGGCCGAGCAAGAAAACTAGAGCAGTTTCAACTGAGCATGATTTTATAGTTGGGGGGAATGAAGACACTAAAGACATCTAAAGGCTCTAGAAGAACCTCACTTGATGTGGGATTGTTTTCACGGTACCGTGAGCATGTGACCCAGCTGCATCTGGACAAAAGCGTTTCTTCTTGAAGGTTCCAACATGAAAGCCGTTTACCCTTAGGATCCTACCAAGACGCTTACTCTTATTTCACCTCACACAGACATGGTGAAATTTCTTCCTCCAAAGCTGTTTCTAAAAGCGGGTGATCATTGACCGTCCTACACTAGCCACACGAAATGGATTTCTGAATTCGACCCCGGCTGATCCACATATATAGAGGCTATAAGACCCGGTATTAAGAAACTACTTTCCTCGTCCGGAAGTGCATCACCAGTCACTAGTCACACAACGAAGCCTTTGATATCTCTGATAAGCTTGCTGCATGGGCAGTGGGCATGAAATACTAGTTGAGGTGTGCACAGCTGACCAGTGATGGGCGCAAGACGTGTGGCAGCCCGTTGAAACGTCACTACCACTTGCAATATTGCTGGGATATTGGGTCTCTGAGAATGGACCTCCTTTCTGATAATTTTTGAGGGATCTCGTGTTTGCACTGCACCATTTGCAACATATTTAAAGCAAAAGCTCCAATGGCAACATCTTGGCCGGTGATAGTCAGCCCTACGCACTGCCCAGAGGGTGCACGCACTGTGGCCAACATGCCAGAGTTAAGTCTGTGCAGCGAGGTTTTGTGGTACTATGGACTATCTTTCACCCGAAATGGCATGGGTACTCAGCGCTGATCAGCTTCGCAACTATACAACCAAACACAAATTGGCTCAGATACGACAATAGTTTTGAAGACTGCACACATCTGCAAGCAAATGCATGCAGCAAAGATTGCCGAGCCACCTGTTTTTGGGCTAGGTTTCTCAGGAGCCACACGATCATCGAGTTGACATTTGGGCTTTACTCTCAGAGATGTTTTGAAACAACGTGCACGTTGGATTGTGGACATGCCTTCAAGCCGTTCAGCAGCTAATTGCCGGAGATACTTGGACTAAAAGGACCTTTTAAAGGATGTTCAATGATTTTCAGCATTGTTGATATATAATATACAGTATCAAGTATACATGATGCCTATGCCTGCAGGCACTTGGTGTTTTGCTTTACGAGATGCTGACAGGAGACCCTCCATTTGCTGGCAGGACCCTGGCTTCCTTGGCAGTCTATTTGTCCTAAGAAGGGCAAGACATCCAGAATTCAACGACATATGCTGACAGGAGGTCTCAAACAGTTCAGTGTTCAGATTCTCAATGTGTTCAATCAAAATCTGTCCACGGTGAGGAACAATGCCCATGTCTTGGGGCGCATCCTATCTGTGGACATCATCATGCCAGTCTCTATACCGGAAGGAGTTCAATCCAGCTTTGTACAAGTACCAAAGGCACCTTTACACACAAACGAGTCAGACAATGACAAAGCATCATCAAGTTAATCATCAAGCCTCTCACGATATTATAACACAAGGCATTTCTGCTGGCCTATGAAAGCACATTGAAATTCTAGTGTGTATTGCATGCAATTTCTGTTCAAGCACAAGCAACGCGCTGCTGCTGCAATTGTATCAATCATTGTCAATCTGGACAGTGGGGGACGTGCTACAAAGACCGCAACCGCGCAGGAGCTGCGGACCTGATTCATGCCTTGCTAAAGGCCCATGCTCGCCATTGTGAATATATATATATATACACAGTAATCCCTTCTTGATTGGGATCGATCTCAGAGCTCAGCTGTGATCAGTCACCTTTTGCAGCTTTGCGGACTAATTTCTCACTAGGCGAGCCCTCAAGAGCGCTTGACCTTGGATGCCGCTCTCAAATGGGCCTGGCTGAAGGCTGCCTTTGTATATACATACAATATATACATACATAGTCAAACGATGTCAAACATACCAAGCGTAGACTGACTAAGATTTGAATGAGAATGATTGCCAAAATGCAGTTTGGGCCTTCTTCATGTGCCGGTCTGTTCACATTGCTTCTTGTGCATCGAAAGAAAGAAGGACATGCGGACAGATCCTTTGGAGACTGAGGAGGAGGTGTCTCATCCTCAACATGATTTGAAACAAATTGAAACCTATGTCGACTGTATTGGATTGTGCAGAGTTGCGTGTGCTGGCGCCAAGGGCAATACCTGTTGATGCCCTTGAGTGCTCTGAAAGCACTGAACGACTACTACTGGAGGCATGCTACGTTGTCCCAAAGTTCTGTGAATCTAAAACTTGTGCAGACATTTTATGGGAGGCAAGTGACATCAGTGAGCGGGAAGATTTAGCTCGTTCCTTCTGCCAATTCGGCTCAAAGAGAGATGTGATGGACAACGAAGATTGAGAAGCAAGAGGCTTCGGGATGCCACTGCCTGAGCTGTGCAGTACACTTGCCCTTTTTTATATATTTTTGGCACGCAGCGGGGGTTAATGTAGTGTGACGTTTGATTGCATGCGCGACCAGCCCAGGCTTTCTGCCCGTGCGTTTAGCCAGACGCGAAGGGCAGTTGCTCCACGACTACTGCTGCTACGGCGACGCACCTTTTATGAGGCTGGTCATAGCAACAGTTGCATTTGCTTCTTGCTACTTGTGCATTCCTTTCTTGGAGGGAATTTGTATGAATTTGTGTTATATACTCATGACTCATGACTGGCCTTTGCAAGAAATGCAAGAATTTGCTGGTCATATTCAGTATTAGGAGATCTATATACATATATACAGTATATAACAAGCATGAGGGGACCGACCATCCAACGTTTTTGACTTTGACATGAATTTACTAGATTGCAGTACTGTACATGATATATGATTTTGACACGTATACAAGTAAATTTTGTCGTAATTTCAAGTATGTAAATTCCAATAGTCTTTTCTCAACAGATCTGTCGTGGCACACTAAGAACAATTGGCCCTGGCTTTGTTAACTTCATCAGCAATACCAGGAATATGGCCAAGTAGTCCAGTGCTTTTATGTACTTGTAATATTATCATGTGGCTACAGGATTCGATCTCTCCGACTCAGAAAGACTTGAGCAACTCTGACCTCAACCAGCAGCATTAGCATGGACCGCTTTGAAACAGCCATCCACCATGATCCGTTTAGAAAAGATGTGGACATAATCTATATATATATATCCATTAGGAATTTCTTGGGCTGACTGATGGCTTGATTTGGTTGAACTGTTACAAAGCACGCCACACGGAAGAGGCAAGCGGCAAGAGGAAGCAACAGGCTTTATGATCGAACTATCAAAACAAGATAGCAAGTGACAACAGGAAAGCAACAAAAGATGAAGAAATGGGGCGGGCACTACTTTGCTCCGTTTTGCCTTTCTTTGTTTCCTTCACTTTACTTTGATGTTTGTTTGTGTGAGTTTGTCCTTTTGTCCCATTTCCAGCATGTTTCCTTGTTCGACTGCATCCTGCGCGGGCTAACTGTTTGCCATTTGCTTCTTTATGTCCAGATTCATTAATGAGTCCATTAGTGAATTGATCCTGCTTCAGTTTTGGTGCTATGGCGCAGGATGCAGCCTCAACAACTAACACTCTCTACTTGGAGAGCCTCTACACGCAGTACCAAGCCGACCCTTCAAAGCTTGATGTCCCTGGATGGAATATGTTTTTTGTTGTCACACTTGTGCACTCCGTTTGCATGTCACCTTTGGATTTTTTCTGCAGAATTTCTGAGGCCAAATGGGGCGATTACTTTGCAGCAATGGAAGCTGGCCAAAAAGCAGAGCCTCCAGCAATGGGCTCAAGTTTGAGGCCCACTCTTCAATGTTGCGCAGTATAAAGCTTAATCAGTTCCTCTACTAAATATGTGTTCCTTTGTTTGATCACAATGTCTTTACATCGTTTTGATGGTACGTCCCAAAGTGCAGAATTTTCGCAATATGGCAAGTTGTGGCAAGTGGTTCTGCCCTTCGCCAGGCAACTCGGAATCGAGACTCGTTTGGCAGCGGCTGTGACATCTGGCGAAACAGCTACAGGTCTCGTGGCATCCAGCAGCGGTGCAGGCTTGGAATTTGTTTATATAGTGCTTATAAAAGCGTCTCGAATCTAAATGCCTGCATATTGTCAGAGCGCACAACTCACTGCAAATAGAATGCAACATGCCCCTGTTTCAAATTACAGGCTATGCATGCTGTTGATGCTTTGAACTCAAAGCTTTGGGAGTTGAGTTCCGAATTATGAAGGGTGTTGCCCGCTTATTGTGTGCGATTGCCCTTAGCTGCCCAGTGCCCAGTGCTTGCCGTTAAAATGAGGGACATTGTTACAAATATCTACTTTAACCATATTACTATATCTATATACATATTATAATATTGAAAATGGTGGCGACCCATCTATTCAAATCGATTTAATTCATGTCCACAATTGCGAAGCACATAGCTGCTAACTTGCCACAAAGTTTAAAAGCAGACACCAGGTGATAGAGCTTGAGATTTGGCACGGTCAGGCGGATTGCAGAACTTGATCCGTGCACACCAAGTGCGGGGTCATGAGGCAGCTTCGCTGGACCCTTTAGACCTCCACAGCTGGCGCAACCCGTTTGCAAATTTTTGCCAAGAGAGTTGCAAGGACTTAGGAATATGCAGATGATTGAGAAAGTCAGGTGAGGGGAGGGAAGATCACAATAAGCCACAGGGATGTTTTTTGATATCAAAGACAGATGGCAATGGATCTACAATGGGACTATGTCAGGAGTCCGTTAGGGGCCTCACATACCCCTAATGATTTGTCCCCGATGTTCGCAAGGTGATTGGGAAGAGAAGGGCTTAGCAGCAAGCGTGCCAGAGCTGGATCCAACCTACCACGGCTTTTCAGAGGCAGTGGCTTGGATGCTAAAACATGACAGGTTTTGAAGTTATAGAAAAAGAAACACAGGATGTCATCGCTTTAACATGTGTAGTTCTATTTCTAGCTCGAGCCCCCGCCTCCCTGCTTGATTAGGTAGGCACCTACTTAATTAAGTACGAGTGACTAGTTCGCTTCTAGTAGCTGGACGCAGGATAGCTCAAGCTCCTTCAAGGAAGCTCCCCCAGCCAGAGGACGGGGGGTAGCTTCCTTGAAGGAGCGCTCGCACTAATCATGTGGTTTCTAGATTTAAGGGAAACTTAATCTGTAACTTCAATATTGCTTTGTCAAGCCATTGCAAATACAACTCTTCATGCAACTGCACGCTTGAGTTGTATAGTTGTGCTTCTTAAGAAGCATCTTAAAAGCAATTCTGCCTACTTTGTTGTTTCGATTGAATATGGAATTATGATCAATCAGTAGGCCACTGTCAGCACACAAAATTGTGCGGTCAGCACCGCGGGGCAGTGAACATGCAATTTGGAACCGATGCCTACTGGCCAAGCTCTCTCGCCAGGAACCTACGCAAAAGCTGCACCAAGATATGTACGGAGGGTTTTGTCATGTTTTATCCCTTTGGATCCTGTTGGCCCATGTAAAATACAAAAGGCCTCAAATCGAGTGAGCTGGAACCCTGCTGTGGAACTCTCAGATTAAGAAGGACGCTGAACAGCGGCCCTATATATAGTACTCCAAACGAGAAATGCATCCAATTGCAATGCATCCAGTTGCATTTGCATTTGATGATGAAATAGCATGAAGGACTCAGAGGAAGCCAAGCTTTGTATATCTGTTTGATGAACTTAACTTGTCCAAGCAAATCCACGTCATATATAGTCACTCAAGAAATGATATCCTCAAGTGGCCATGCTGCTCACCTTCTTCCAGTGCAGAAGCAAAGGCTTGTGAGGGTCACACAAGCTAGAACCCAAAACTCGTGTGGCTAGCGCTCAGGACTATGAGAAAACATTTGATGTAAGCTTTGCTGGTCTCAACAAGAGTGCAACTCTTGGGGAAATTGTGGACACTTTGAGACACTGTGCCAGAAGTGAGAATCATGATGTCAGGACTTGACAAACTGTGGAGCGGTAAGCAGGAGTATTCAACCCCCCCCCATTCTTATTCTAAGACTTTAAGAGGTTTGGGCTCGAGTTGGTTGCTGTTTTTTGGAGTTTTTGTTTGTGGGTTGAGGCTAGCTTGGAATCCTTTTCGTGTGTTGAGGATGAACATTTGACATTGATTTCCATAGCTGTGGATGTTCTAACTACCAGATTATCCAACATAATTCAAAAAAAAAAATATGGAAGATATTGCCCAGAAGCTTACCATTCACACTGGGTATATCGAGCTTTGCAACGAAGTCATACTATTCCTTGAGAGTATTATACTACATAATTCTTGTACTTGCCCAACGGGCATGTATGTTTTTGCCAAATCCTTCCATTTAAAGCGAACTACTGCAATGCATTAGCATACGAGCAGTGATGCATAGTTTGCAACGTATACATTGGCTAAATAGGAAGTTGCATGGCTTGTAAAACACATGACCAAGCTGTATGTTTGTTTGTACAAAACAATTTGCTACTCAACATCCATACATACCCCTTCGTGCACACAGATGTGGTTTGTATAACTTTATCGCGGTTCATTTTCCAAGTTCTTTTCACAACATCCACCAGAGATAGCACAAAACGCGATCCATTCGCGATTGTGCAGCCCCTTGTCCGAAAAGGCATTTGTAGTGACAGGGGTTGAAGAGCCCGGACAGATTCACTTCTGGTCGATGCAGCCTGGGTGGTGCAGGATTTTTCATTGCGCTTGCAGCCAAGGAAACGTCTATTGCAACACCATTGGCGTGGAATACATGCATATTGGAGACCTACAAAAATTCGATTGGATTCGAACCCGGGTGGAGAGCCCTGACTTTCTTCCTAGCGACAAAGAGAGGCTCATCAAGATTTATAGTGCCTTGGGCCTTGGCTAGTGCAGGGTATGATACTGATACTGAATGTTCTCCACAATGCAAGTAGCATTGCCTAGCAGGGTTGAAGGTTTTTGATGGTTTTGGAGCATAATATTGCTCATCGATAAATCCCTGACCCTTGACATTTGAATAGAATAGAATTGTCCTTGGGTGCCGATACGATGGCACAATTGAGGTGAATTGATGAAGGTTGACACGTTCGAGCAGTTTCTCAACACCCAATACAAGACCACGAAGCGGTTTGGAGTTGATGGTGGAGAGGCTTTACAATTTTGCAAATGTTCGCAGTTGATGTGTCAGCACAGTACCAACTGCTAGATGCTTTTCAGAAAGAGCTCACACTTGACATGACATGGTGCTCACAGTTGTTTGTTTTTTCCTCATTTGTTTTGGTCGTCTTTAGCTTTTGTGATCGATTACCTCAACAGTGCTTTGGGTTTCGCCGCCACATGGTTTCGAAAGGCATCCGTGGCTGGTGTAAATGCTGCAATTGAGCGTGCAGCAGAGATGGGAGTACAGGAGGCAGGTCCTACGAGCAAGGACCTAATAATTCTATAATGGGTTCTTATGCCGTCCTGTACCTTTGCTGTTCTGGTGTAATAGATCCACTGGATTCACTGGATTTCCAACTACAGTGTAATACCATGCACAAATGATGCAGAAGGTTGTGATTGGGATGCCACACCGTGGACGTCTCAATGTTCTCACGCTGCTCAGAACTACTTACTCGACTTGGCAGTTATTGCTTGTGTAGATGTGGGTCGAGTACAGTCCCTCGCACATGGACATGAAAAACTCATGAAAGCTGCATTTTGAGGAATGATTCAAGGTGTCCGCGTTTCCTCCAGGTTATATAGTGGGAGAGAGTGTAGCATCATGGTCCTAGTTGCTGTTTGTGCCACAACATGGACTCCACGACGGTTTCATATGCGAAAGCTGAGGAATGTGGTTGGGAAGCCTTTGGTTCAGATGTTTGCTGAGTTCAAGGCCTTTCGGCAGATGTTGAAATCCAAGAGGATGCTGAAGCTACTGGTAATGCTAACAAGGCATGTTGAACAGAACACTGCCGCAAGGGCATTCTAGATGGTCAGTATCCATCCCTGACAAAGCTCTTCAGAGTTGAAGCGTGAAGAACTGCTCCAACACCAAACTACACGGAGGGTAGAGTGTTTTACAAATGCGTTCTTAAAGAGTGGTTCCTATGTTCGTTTGGGGCATTGTGTGTATACACACAAAGCTTACAACTTGCAACTGCGTAATTGAAAGATTGATAAACACCATCCCAGCGATTCAGTTTGATTTTGAGAATATCCAGGGCACGCATTATGACTTTGAGAACCTAGTTGAAAAGAGCCAGACGGATGATTGGCCCCTTGGCTGGAAGGGACTTGACCTTGAGGACCTTGTGAGGCATTGAAAGACTTCAAACATCAACTATTGCCTTTGTCAAAATTTGTCGAGGCTCTTTGCGGGTGATGTCAAGTACCACTTGGGGACATCCAATGTACGGGAATTTGCCAGCGGAAAATCCGTTCTTGCTACGCTGGAGGCATTGGCGTTGGCATTGTGTGTGTGCGAAACTAAAAATACCAAAAGGCGTTGGGAGCAATATTCGCTACTAGGAGCAAAGGCATTGCTACTAGGAGCAAGGACGCTACTAAGGGCTCCTGGCCTTACTACTAGGAACAAGAAGCTATTAGAAACAAGAATTCACTCAGGGATTCAGTCTGATTCAGTTCTGTGCAAGGCCAACCCATCACACTTAGAGACCGTGAACACTGTGACGCTCGGGAGAGCACGTGCCAAGCAGTACTACTTGGGCAACACCGCAGAAACGAGGCCGGATCAACTTAGGCCCAGGCAACACCGCACGCTCTCTTCAATGTGCAAAGCCTGTGCAAGCGTGTGCATGCAGTTGTCTTATCCAAAAGTTGCAATTTAGACTGATTTACAGTATATAACTTGATTTGCTTGTTTGAATATTATAGAGCGTATAGAGTACATGGACACAGAAATGCATAAGTCTGTTCAATCCTTGCTTCGTCTCGTTTCTCTCATTGCCAGGTCAAGAGTGATGCCGATCCTTTTTCACGGGGTCACTGAGCAGTGCCAAGTATTCTAAGTAGCCGTGACACTGCAGTTTCTGCATGAAAGAATACTCTGTCAGCATGAAAGATTCTGAAAGACCAAGAATTGTTTCTAAATTCCATTTTCCAAGGATGCGTCCTTTGCTGGGCAGGGCGTTTGCTACGAAACTCTTCAGCTCGCACATGTTCAAGAGTTCGATGTTGGTGGGACTATACATGTGATCATCAACAATCAGGCAGGTTCCGCAAGTCACTTCAGCCCGAGTTTGTTGAAGAATTGGACGTGGAACCTTGCAGCCTGTACATACTGAATACACCTTCTGTTCAGATAGCAAGCGGCAAGGTGGGCTTCACCACAGACCCCGTCGATGACAGATCCACCATGTATTCATCTGATCTTGGCAAAGGCCACGGTGGACAGAACGTTGAGCAGGTTATCACTAAGTTTGCAGTGTAGTAGAATAATGTTAACGTTTGGTTGGCCACCTTCTCCGGAGTCGAATGCTATATTATGGTCCTACCGTCATTTTGCTGTTACCCTCAAGAGGTGTCTTTTCAGTTGTCTCAGCCAGATGTCATGATCGCAGTGATGGAATCTCCGTCCATTTGTTAGAGACATCCACTATTGAAAAATCCTTGCCAAACACGGCAATGCTGTCTTTCAAGATATCAGTATTCAAAGAAGCATGCTGTGTCCATGTCGCCTCCATTTTGTATCTCGTGTTTCATGAATCATCTCTGCAGTCTGCAAGCATTGCATATTGTCAGACTCAGACTCGGCGTATCTACAAGATATTTGTTTGCATTTGTTGGTTGTGCGCAATGACTTGGACAACAGACATCTATATAAATAGTTTTGCAAGAGGCTTTGGGCTGCCAGTGCTGCATGTGAATGGCGATGATCCTGTGGCTGTCACGTCCGCGTTTCAGCTTGCTGCAGAGTGGCGTCAGACTTGGGCAACTGATGCCATAGCCCTAGTGTTGCCAATGTAGAACACTTGCAAGGTGTTCTTCATGGCTCCAGTCTGTTTCTGTTTCCGTTTTGCTTAGCGTGTCAGAGAGTGGATGTGACTTAGGTTATAGTTGATGTCATTTGCTACAGACGGTTCGGGCACAATGAAACTGAAGCTTGGCCTGTTGTCAAAGTTGCTTCAAGAATCATAACGCGAGCCATTCGTTGATTGTCCCATTTCGATTGAACAATATTGTGCTCATAGGTGCGACAGCAGAGGATTTGAGAAAGAGGATTGACGATGTGGTATGCAATGGGTCATCAGATATATTGCCCTTTTTTTCACTGAAGAGTTTCACACTTGCAGCGATATGAGTTGAGGACGCACCAGAGTACACCCAGCCGATGCTTTACAAGCAGATTGCTAAACATCCTCGAACACACGTAGTATTTGAGCAGCGCCCTGGCACAACATTGAAGTGGCTGTTACACACTTACTGTAATTAATCCTATTTACTGATTCAAGCATATGCAAGGTCAAAGTGGTTCAGCACTAGCATATGCTTCTTGCATGTTGCTTAAAGAGCTGAATCCTGCCATCAAAATAATTGAGTGGCACAGTGTCGTTCACACGCCCCAGAGGCTGTGGGAATGTAAGGAGTGTTGGTAGTGGGCTAATAGGACATGATCAGCAAACAAACAGACAGTTCAAGTGCAACTGTTTTTTGACGTTGAAAACCGAAGAGTCCAAGGAAGCTTTTGGCATCTGGTTCCGTGAGTCAAGCAGAGATGGACTCAATCAGAGCAAACCTTTGGAAGCAGCACGAAGAGGCAATGTTTGACTAAGCAGTCATGGTTGGAACCTTGAAAGGAACCTGTTCAAAGGGCCCAAAGAAAAGTACTAAACACTTGGTCCAAGCGCTAAGCAGCAGCAGAAGTGAGTGCGCTGAATCGGAGGCCTTTGCCGCGGCTGATGCCTTTAAGCCTGATGAGGAGTGTTGTCATTTGATGGAAGACATGATTGCAGAATTGGACCCCTTCCTGAGCTTCCTTCCAAACCCCGGCAATCTTCACCGTCTCCCCAGTGGCTGCTTGCAATTTCCTTTAAAATCTAGGAACCAAATCATTAGTGTGAGCGCTATCCTGCTTCCAGGCTAGTAGCTTAAGTAGCTGGTAGCTACACTATATCTATGTAATGATTTACACAATATTAATTGCCTTTCGCTCTCATTCCCTCGGTCTCTTCCTCAGGACATGGGCAACTGGGTAGCGACCAAGTGGGAAGGCTTCGTGCGACCAACAGACAAGGCCTCCTCACATCCAACAGGTGTAGATCTGGAACTCCTCAGAAAGATTGGTGCGAAGCTCTGCGAAGTTCCTGAAGGTGCGCAGTTCTTCATGGCTGGCAGAAGTGTGCATTGCATAGCATATGGTGTGTTTGGAAAGCAAGGTCAGCATCCAGCATGCAACCTTCTTGGATGGGATAGCCTAATCGAAAGATTGTTTCATTTTATAGTGATTCCATTAGCAATGATCAATGTTCACACAAGGATCCTCGTGACATGTTCTTCTTGGCACAGGCTTTAAGCTGCACAATGGCTTGAAGCGCCAGCTCAAAAAGAAGCTCGAGGATTGAAGCGACATGTCAATATATGTCAACTCTCGAGGTGCAATCAAGATCCCAAATCATAATGTTCCCACGGGGTTGATTCAGTTGGACCACTTGACCAAACCATCCAACATGCCCATGCACCTCAACATTGCAGGAAGCCGGCGCTTCTTTCCAGTGCCCCTCCCCGTTTTGCTTTGTCTTTTCATGGAACCCGCTTGATCATGAATTGAAATCTTCTATTGTGTCGTAAGAGCAGATGGTATGACGTGCTGCCGCCATAATGTATAATTTCAGGACATCGAAAGCGGCGAGACCATCGACTGGGCCACTGCAGAAGCAATGAGCTTTGCATCACTCCTTTTGGAAGGCAACCATGTTCGCATTACAGGTGCCTTGTCTCCTCCATGCTGAAGCTCACGATGTTCTTTTCTGTTTCCTTGGCCATTTCGTGGCGGACTGGCACCTGCCACATCATGCGAAGTATCATGCGAATACGTGGTGCATTGCGTTCCCTTGCTCACAAGGTCAAGATGTCCAGCGTGGCACCTTTGCTCATCGACATTGCGTAGTGAAAGATCAAAACACTGGTCAAGACTATTGTTGCTTGGCGGCGTGTGGAAAGCCCAGTAGAAGCTGCCTGTGAAGAGTCTCTGTATTGAATGTAATTATTGAATGCCGCAAAAATATGCAAACATTACAATCTGATCATGTGTCATGGATTCATATACTGTATAGATATTGCCTAGGCTTTCTGAACAACTTGGACTTGGGGCCTCAGGACAACTCTGACTGATTGTACAACATTGTTCAGTTTTGAAGCGATCACGACGGCAAGCTACAGGTACTGACTTTGGGGGGGAGGCGAGCGCAAACAGCTAGATTGAGTATTCCAGAACGGGGCAATAGTTTGCAACAGGTCTCTAATCGAATTTTTGCAGTGGGATAGCGGCTAGCGACTAAAAGGATCATAGCAGTGCTGCAACCTGCTCTAGCACAGGAGAATTTCATTGCTCGCAATTCAATCCTCTCAGAGTATGGCGTGCTCGGCTTTGAGCTCGGATACAGCTACGAGAATCCGCGGGCTCTAGCAACTCAGAACACCAAGAAAGTGAACCAGAAGAGCTTACCTTTGAAGTTGATGCACATCCAAGAGAGTTGTCAGTATGCTCACCTAAGCCAGCATTCAGGTGATTTGGGAAGCTCAGTTTGGGGACTTCGCAAACACTGCGCAGGTCATGATTGATCAGCCACTCAAGAAGCACTTCAGATTTTGATATTGCAGTTGGGTGTGCATAGTATATAAGAAGTATATACGCTGTTTGAGGGAAATTTACTCAGTGAGTTCTGGTAACAGGTTTGTCTCTGCCGGGGAGCACAAGTGGCTGCAACAGAGTGGTTTGGTCATGCTCCTGCCGCATGGATATATGGGACTGGACCTCAGTCATGCTTCGTTGAGTGCAGGTGTTGTTCAGAGATGCAGAGATCAACCATTGGCTGTTGGAGTGCAACTTACTTTTTGGTTGGTGCTTTCAGTTATACACGTTTTTTCTTTTCAACCCTTTCTGGGAATGACTACCCCAGTTGACTAATACTTTTGGGAAGGGTTCAAGACACAATCCACATTTTTTTTTTTTTGTCCGGCTCTTTTCAGCATGAACGAGTTCAGTTGGACTCATGCCAACATCTTGCGGATGTCATGTGAAGTGGACGTCGAGCACCTCCGCTTCAGCTTCTCCGTGAGTTTGACCTGCTCGTTTTGGATCCTTGCTCTGGCGTGGCATTTCTGGCACTCAACCACATTGCCGGAGCGATGGATGTGGTGAGTGGGGTGCCCGTGCCAGAGATTGCTTGCCAGTGGTCCGTGATGGCAAAATTCTCCGATGAAGCGAGTGAAGATCTCCTCGCCAGCCCTTGCCAAGACGTAGCTGCGGCAACGTGTGCAGCGTAGATACGCTTTCTCCAAGCGCAGATGATGAGTGCCAGGTGGAACCTCGCCTTGGCTGTCCAAGAGATCATGGATGACCTCAAAGCGAGTCTTCTTTGGTTCTGCCTTGGGAGCAGCTTGAGGGCAAGGCACAGTGAGGCCTTCACGGAGCTCCTTGATCAGCGATTTGGTGTGGTATCGCACTCGACAATGGGCACACTGGACGCCTGACCTGAAAAGCTGCCACTGATGTCCCTCAGCCTGTGGGTTCTTCAAATAACTGGCCAGGAGATCCTTCTTTTGTTGGATCAAAGGGACTTTCAAGTTCTCACCCATGGCTGCTTTGCTATGCAAAAAGTGCTCCTTGCAGGTGAGGAGAATGTTCATTCTGGTGCCGGCCACACTGAGAACATCCCGAGTGTCTTCATCGATGTGTTTCTGCAGATCAATGATCTCTTCAGGTCTGGCTAAAAGTGTGCCTGAGTTGCCTTTGCCTGCGTGTCACGCTGGAAGGCTTTTCTGTTGAGGTTCGAATCCATTTCCTTCCGATTGAAGAGGAGAAGACGGACTTGATCAAAGTCCTCATGCTCCAATCCCATGCTGAGGTCTGGGAAGCGCTCATGAGCAGCAAAGAAGGACCAATGCTTCCAGATGGCGTGGTCAAACACCGCTACATGCACCTTGTCTCGGATGTGGAGTGAGAGGTGTTTCAACCCGTAGAACAAAGCTCGCAACCGAGTGGCCTTGCCAGGGCAGATGCCTGTGACGGAGGCAACCCTCTCACGTGTGAAGACCTGGTGAATGCAAATGGCAAAGACAAAGCGCCGGTGTCGGGGATCTTTGGACGTGGGCGCCACGGCCAAGGAAACTGCATGTCCAGCAGGCAAGTTGCACGCCTCCAGATCCGCCCATAGGCCTTCGCCAGAAAAAGTGGCCATGCCGCCGTCTGGGATGTAGAAGATGGACTGCGTCATTCCCCTGTTCCATAGTTCAGGCTCGGAGTTGGCCTGGATTCGTTCTCGCCATTGTTGCGGCAGTGGTTGGACACGTCCTTCCCAAAAACTGCACTCCCACAAGAGGTGGATGAAGGTCAGCTCGACACCACACAGAGGACAAGTCCCTGTCTGACCATGGAGAGTGCCTTGATGCAGGGCCCGGATGCCAACGGCAGCTTTCTCACTGGTCATCTTTTGGAGAGTTTTGCTGACGCTCCAGTCCAACTTCCTCTCCAAATCGTGGCAACCCTCGTACCTGGTCAGGCGCAGCAATCGCTGCCACTGAAATTCCTCATTGAGCTTGTGTTGGATCTCCGGCCAAAGGGCTTCCAGGCTGATGCAGCAGTCAGGGATTCCACCATAGCCTGTTCTCTTCCAAAGTTTGCCATTGGAAATGTCAAAGTCGTAATCCAACAGGTAAGCTTGTAGCGCTTGAAGAGGTCCAGAGACGACTTGCCAGCGATGCTTGGCCTTGAGGAGGAGGTCCAGGGCAGAGTTCCAGCTGATCCAAAAGAGGTGCTGAGCACTGGAGTCGAAAGAATGGAGGACTTTCCATACAGTGTGGATGTGCTGGAGGATGATGGAGTCACCAGGATCACTCTTGTCAGGATGCATGTCGAAAACGACGTCAACGGAGCCTGAACGTTGAAGTCCTAGGCCTCTGCCTGCCAAGACCCGCAGTTGTTGGCGTCTTTGTGGAGCGAGGCCATTCGCTTGAGCCCCCCAAGACATCACAGGGTGAATTGCTCCACGGTGAAGGCGGTACTTGGTCGCATTGCCAAGTTTCAAGCGCAGCATGATGCCAACCCGTCCTCGGCCCTTCAAGAACCGTTTCTTGATTTGGGTGATGCGTCGCCGCCGTGCATTGGTGGCGTCAATGCCGAGGTCTCTGAGGATGTTGTGGTGCTTGGGGTCGTCTTCACGAAGCTGAGCATCCAGGGCTTTTGCTGATTCTTTGCTGCTTGTGATGAAACCAGTTTTCTCCGTGTTCAGCTTTAGCCCTTCTGCCGCGAGGGTGGATTGCAAAGTCCGGAAAGCCAGAACCGCCTCGCGGGCGACATATTCCGGGTCGGTGCCTTTGATGTCATAGGAGACGTCGTCCACCCAAGTCTGCAAAATGACGGCCGGATGTTCTCTGACCAGGGTCTGGAGAGGTCTGTGAAGCACAAGCTTAGCAATAGCAGGAGCTTGTGGACAGCCTTGGAGTATGCCATTCTGGTAGTACTTGGGGCTCCCGGCAATGCCCTCCGCTTGGATCAACCTGGGGCCAGAGTAGAGGTCCAAAGCCAGCTTGAGGTGCAGAGGAGGGTAATTGAGGTTGGTCGCTGGTTCAATGAGATGGTCGAGTTGCACCGTGTCGTAGAAGCAGGTGAGGTCAGCCAGGCATGTGACGGTGTGAATGCCCTGGTGCTTCCCAATCTCTGCTTTGAGCATGCGACCAACTGCAATCGAAAGACAGTCCTTGTGTGGCCTGGCATGATCCCATGGCATGTCCTTGTCAAGACCCAACTGCCATTTGTGAAGGTCGGCTTTCCGGTAGCTGTTCCAAAGCCGGTAGAGGCAAGAGGTGAGCGCGATAGGTCGCTCGATGCGGTCATTCTTTGGAATCATCACGATGTTGGTGTGGCGCAGCTGGATGGGCAATTCAGCTTCCTTCTCCATTTCAGTGAGGAGATGGGAAAGCTTCTCGACTGCAGGATATGGAAGATGCCTCAAGAAGTCATAGGAGATGCCATCAGGACCTGCAGCTTTGTTCGGGAGCCTTCGCATGATCTTCTGAAGAAGACTGGAGTCAATCGGCTTCATCTGCAAAGCCTGAGCCTGCGCTAACCGCTTCAACTCTTGGAGACCTCGAAGAGGCATGGGATCCCCACGTGGAATCCAAATGGCACCCCACTGCTGTTCTCTGGCGGATGTTCGTGAAGTGGGTGGGAGGTCTTGGAAGGGCCGTTGCCACGCATGGTCTTTTTGCCGCAAGCTGCGAAAAAGCCCCCTGAGGCCCTTGTCGTGAGCTTTCTCTAACCACTCCCGGAACTCATGGTTCGTGGCACTGAGAAGCTGTTCTTGCGCTAGTTGTTGTTCTTGTTGCACGATCTGCAGGAGGTGCGCGTGTGGCACATTGCCGCCAAAGATCCACTTCAGGAGCTGCTCTTCAAAGCTGGCTTGATCAAGTTGCTTGGAGGCATGTTGAGAAATCCTCGAGGCCATGTCCTTGAGGTCTTGGAGAAGGCCTGGATACCTGCCAAGGGTGGCCAGGTTGATCTTGGCGCCGAGCTTCTCCCAGAAGGCCGCACTGCCCTTCTTCCAGACTCGTGGCTTGTCGGAGGTGGCCAGAGGAGCTTGGTACAAGTGCACTTGGGAGCCTCTGCCTGAGACAGGGTTGTGGAGGTGCTGGTTGAGATATTTCTCAGTTTGAGTGGCCCATCTCGCAAGGTCCGATCCCAAACCAGTGATGCCTTGACCCAGAATGTGAAAGGGTCCATCGTCCTCTTGGAAGCTGGTCCAAAGATGCTTGGGGTGGTAGTTGCGCGCCACCGGAGGAAATCGCTGGAGCTGCTGAACAGGGAGGGCGGCTTGTTGACAATCAAACCGAAGCGAAAGGGCACAATGCGGCTTCCACGGGACTTCCCAGTCTGCTTCAAGGTGCAAGGCTGAGGCAATGGACGTGGACGCCAAGATGAAGTCCAGGTGACTGCCTTGTAGTGTCGTAGGGCCAGGAGTGGCAAGGATCTGAGCACGGAACTTGCTGGGTATAGTGGTGGCCGCAAGATCCTCAGGAGCTGTTTGCCAGTCACCTCCAATGATGAAGGGAGCTTGAAGGTGGTCCAGGAATTGCAAGAGCTGCCCCAGGAGCTCGGCATTGAGAGGTGATTGAAGAGGTTCCCCAGTGCGAAGGTAGAGCTGGATGAGGTAGAGCTCAAGTCCCTCCCTTTGCATGGCCAGAGCCGTCCATCCATTCCCTTGCTTGGTGTAGGTGTGGACATGGTGGATCAAGTGCCTGGTGGCATGTAAGGTGAGGAAGCCACCTGTTGAACCTCCATTGCCCGTGGGTTCCGACGCGACCCCATGGCAGTTCCATCCGCGACTGTGGAAGTACTGGAGCGTAGTGTCCAGCGCTTTTTGCTGAAGATGAGTCTCCTGAAAGAGCATGATCTTGTCGCCTTGCCCCCAGATCCAATCTTGGACTTTCTTGCCAAAGAAGGTGACATTGCTGAATGAGAGGTAGAGAGTCTCGTGACAAGCCTTGGGTTTCTTCGGGAGATATTCAGCAACTTCCATAGCAGTGTCGGGCACTAGTTCATCAGTGGCAGCTGCAATGAGCCAGATCTGGGCTATCTCCTGCCGTTGCTGCAAAGTGAGGTGGGGCAGAGGGGTAGGAAAGGTCCCATCGTCAGCCAACCAGTAGATGTTGTCGATGGCCAAAATGGTCTGGTAGTGCTCATTCTCATGTGAAGCTCCTTGGTGAGTGACCAGGCCAACCACTTGATAGTTCGCCATGTGGACATTGA